AGTTGCCGGGACCTGATAAGAGGCTTAGCTTGAGTTGCCAAACGGCGTGTAAACTAGACTTTCGCTAAATTACAATTTTTAGAGGTTATCACGCACTGCTCCAAGTCTCTGACTCACCCAATAATACATGCAATAAATACATCTCATAGGGCACATTATTTAATAGATATGAAATATTAAAATATGTAGAAAAATTATAAATAGAATTAAAAAGCCAAACAAACAAAGGAAAACGACGTGACAAACACACCGTCATCGACTGTATGCGTATCCACACTTGGTCGCAGTTAGGAAAACGGTTGTAATTGGTCTGTTTTTTTCATTCGTGATCACTTACCCTGCAAAGCTTCGCAATTTTAATAACCGTTCAAAGTATAATAACCGCGAAGCATTGTCCGCTGCCGCGGTATTGCTCTGCAGTGCCGTGGCATTTATATCCAGCGTAAAATGTCGTTCAATTATAATTACATTGCAAATTCCCACTTTGGTTCCATTCAGCGTAACTTTCGCTGTTTCGTGAAATGCTTCGCGTGATTCTATACTGTACTCGTTATTGGTAGACGTTATTAATGTGCGTGCGCCGTGCGGTCCTTTAAAGTTATACTTCGGAGTTAGCCAGTGTCGCCACACGGTCTAGGGCCTTATCCTTTCTACATTCTCGTAGACCACTAATTCATTCATTAGTATAGAGTTAATTAATTCATTACTATAGAGTAACAGAGACGCGCAATAGTGAAGGTGGGAATATTCATTTTACAAAATTCCATTTACACTATGAAAAACCAACCATACGACTACTAATGTTATCACTACATAGTATAAAACAAAGTCGTACCGTTCTGTCGTCCCGTTCTGTCTGTCCCTATGTATGCTTAGATGGTGATTCAAGAGGAAGGTTTATATGTATAATACATTAAATCCGTGCGAAGCCGGGATGGGTCGGCAAGTATGAACATATTAAAAACGGATTTTCTATACGAATATCATCTCTTTACCATAAATGTAATATAATCGTACTTTTCTTCATATTTCAATTTAAGGATATATTTTGCAAGGCTTTTTATGTATTTCACCTACATATCATAACCGATTAAACCGTAAAGACAGGTAACAAATTAAATTACATTGAAGTTTCCAAAAGGCCTACCATAGTATTTCCACCATTAGATATTTAACAAATAGAGTCCAAAACTTGTAACATAACATCTGTAATAATATATAATAAAGTATAAGTTAAAGTATTTCATATCTTCCTTAGCGACCTGCTGAATCGGAGAGCCTCTTAGAGTACGCCACTGAATTTCAATTCCACGACTCCAGAGAGTCATGCTTAGACGTGGTGTCTCTTATTCCGTCACTGTTATCTAAAATTACTTCATCATAGTATTCGCATGTATTTGAAACTGCAGACATACCAGACAAATTCAGACCAGAGACAGACCAAAGAAATAAAAAAATCAAAGCTGTATTTTTGATCATTTCATTCTGTTGGCGTCAAAACCAGCCATTATAAATTTGGGTTAGTCCAGATTTGTATTGGGGAAAAAGTTTTTATAGTATGAATACACATAATATACATTTGACTAGATAAGATCTAGATAAACATTAGTGATAGGCAATATAGATTAATTCATGTTACAGAAGAACATGACTTTCCTAATTTGTTTGTTATACGATTTAAACGCTCTCATCGTGGAACAAAGAAATGTAAAAGTTTCTTACAATCGTAGCAATTCTTAGCAAGTCTAAGAGAAACATTTCAAAAAGCAGCCTGAAAGTGTTTTTAAAAGGAAACCAAAAGAAAGCTTAGGTGAATGGAAACTCGAAGGTACAAAATGTTTTCCTATTCATTGAGATGCATTGTTCTAAGGTTAGAAGAAACATGCGAAGAGTGTAGGCTTCGAGTATTGTAAAAGTCTATTCACCGTACCACAATAACTTTAATTGTTCATTTGCTTTGATCGTCTTAGATGGCGTATTGTCAATATACAAGTGATATAATATCATAACAATAATCATATAATATTTATATATATATGTTTATTTTTATCCATAATATTTATTTTATATATGCAATATATATCTTTATTTTTATTTTTATTTATAAACCCAACCAGACGAGAAAACAAATGAATATCCCCCTATCATATAATGTCAATATATAATATAGATAACAAGCGTGAGTTGAGAACATAAGTTAGGGGTTCGAATATCGGAAGCTTGCATGGAAGTTTTTGTTATAGATTGTGTAACTGTTAATTAACAATTTCATCGTTTTCCAAAGTATTTTATTCTAAATTATGTACGAACTTATTATGACCTCACTCATGATCATATAATATGTGACTTCGATGTTGGCTGACACCGCAATTGACATTTTAAAAAACTTGGCGAAAGGCAACGTCTAACTAATCATCAAAAAAAATTACCACATCGCATCGGGCCGTAATGACACGCTGGAAATACCAGGGTTTAGACTAGTTAAAACCAGAAAATTGTTTCTTGGTCTATGTGTATGTATGATGTATTAACTTATATAATGGAATAGGTGACATCCGCAAACAATTAAGCATAAATAATTTCAAACATTTTGTAAAAGCAACCTTAATGGAAAGGGCCTATTATATTTATGTTGAGGAATAGATTGAGGACAAGGATGTGTGGAAATGAATCTGTACTTACAAGTCCCCTGGCTCCTGCTAATTTTATACTTAAATAAAATATAAGACCTCAGAGTTTCTTGCCGGTTTTCTGACAGGTCTAGTTTAGTGAACCGGTGGTATTTTTTGACATTCAATAATAGTTAATTTATATAGAAAAAGTACGAAAAGATTGTCGCCGCTGTCAGAATCGAATCCATGGCAATCAGCCGTTTAGCTTAGTGGCTAAAGCGTCAGGCCACGAATGCCGAAGACGTGGGTTAGATTCCCACAGCGGCGACAATCTTTTCTTACTCCTACAAATTTCAATGTTTAATCATAAATGCAGAGATTAGCACTATAAATACTAATAAATGATTCAATAAAAGCTTAAAATAAGCCTACGATGAATAAAGAAATTTTGACTTTAATCCTCAGTTAGAGAGGAGCCGTCTGAATAGATAAAACGAGCGTTTTTCCGAAATACAAACGGCGTACTAAAATTTCATAGACGAAAGCCCTCGTAGCCAGCGGGCCGTGATAATGGACTTACCGTACGTCAAACGCCACCAGTGTTAACCGCCCTTTTTATTTTACAACGCTTGTCAGTCGCTTTTGAAAGCTCACCTGAGCTTTGAACTTCTATTCTATCTACTTTAAGCGTGTCATTTGTTTACACGATACATCATATTTACATTCACTATTTACTGGTTCGCCATTTTACTGTTGGATATAATGGCATGTTCTAAAATTCTATGCATTTACTTTCAACAATATTGTTAAAAAGCGAGCAGTTTTCCGATGGAATTAATTTTTTTATGTAAGAAGTCAGCAAGCGTGGTGATGGTTCACCGATGGTAAGCGATATACGCCACCCGTGGGCATTTGCAACACCCGTAGGGTTTCATATGCGCAGCCAGCTTTTAATAAACTGCTCTCTGGTTACCTCACTCACCAGACGAAACGCAAAAGTATAATACTCCCACTTCGCGCCAGTCTTCTGTGTGGTCGTGGTACTGCCCCGGATGGACCACCTTATTCGTCCAAGAGCAAAAACTGTGTTGCGTGACCCTACCACAGTTTAAGATAAGTAACGTCTACCACTTGCAGCATAAACTATACTAGATGCTAGTGTGCATCTAAACATAGCAGCACCTCGTTTGTGTTTTGTTTCTCAATCCGTATACAAACACGTCAATTGCATACGATTTCTAATTAGCACCATGAAGCTGCATTAGAGATCCATTTCCTTGTGGAATTCTGTGGCGAGTTTTGTTTTGTTTTTTGAATTTATTAACAGCAAAAACTATCGACTTGCTCTATCTTTAGCTATCCGGGCCAAATGAGAACAAGATCCTTATCATTTACTTTGGTGAAAATAACAAATTGAACGATCAAAAGAATACTGAAAACGGAGCCTTTATATGTTTTCCTTTTTGAACGTTTTTTGAACGTCCGGAATCTTTACATTAAGGAAGCTTCATTTGACACTGAGATGCAGATTAAAAAGATACGATTGACTCTTATCGCTCGGAGGCAGCATTTTGAACAGATTTCTTTACGGGTGTTCTCTTTCCTGGCGATGTGTTGTGAGGATTAACTTGGTAAACCAGTCGATGAGCCACTTTATTCTTATTATTATCTTCATTTAATCCCTTGCATGTAGTTGTTACCGATTGTTTTATTTTGTGTGCGTATTTATTTTTCTGTTAGCATCGATAAGTCTAAGCGAATTTTAAGGTAAAAGTCTCCTCCAAATCGTTCCAACAGGTTCCTTTTACTTGCCCGGCCATAAACTTCCGGCTATTTTTACGAGGTCCTCACTCAATCTTTTTGAATATTCTACCCTACCTTCTTTCTGCGTACATTGGATACCAATTCGTTGTTATTTGTGACCATCTTTTATACATTTATATTTCAGCGTCAGGTTCTCTATTCCGCATCTCTCACCCTTGTTCTTTTCCTTATCAGGGAACTTTTGACTATATTTTTTTATATTCATATAAATCCACTCCATTGTATTCCTTGTTGTCAACCTCGAATATAATTTCATATCTTTCTTTCGTTCATTTTGTTTTGTAAGTGAGGCGACGGAAACAACCCCTCGGGTGTTGTCGGTGTCCATGAGTGGTAACCACTTAACATCAGGTGAACCGCCTGCTCATTTACCAACTATTCACACAAAAAAAACTTTGAATGAAATATCGCCGATGACGTAGTGAATAAACAATGATTCATCTCGGCGCAGCCGGCGAGAGGGGAAATAAATACGGAAGCACTCACCTTTGAAGGAGGCCATATTGGAGTGCCCCCGCCGTTCTCATTTATTGAATTGCGCGGATGTGTCAACCAGGCCGGTTACAAAAGGGCACGGGACATCCCGCGGCGCGCCGGTATGGGGCCGTTGCGTCCACCTGCAAATGAAAGCATCGATGTAATGTACGGAAATCGATTGCAGCTCTAACTGATTGCACCGGAACAAACGTATTCTTGGGGCATTCATTATAGTAATGGAAACCGTTACATTTTGAATTAAACACAACGGTACTAGCGTGTGTTTTCTTCTTTCCACGGCACGGTTAGTTACAAGTCTCCGGTGATGGGTCTATTGCTTTATACTTATACTTTATTTAATTATTTTACATCATCCAATAAAAATATCAGAGTCTGTAATTTATACGTAATAGAAGTTTGTAAATTTACTAATTTAAAATTTTAATATAAACTTTTCAAAAAAATTAGAAAGTTCAATTTATTTTAAAAATCTAAATAATGATTTAAAGTAAAGAAATGAGATCGAAACTCATTCATACACACTACTAGAGTTTTTAACCTTAAAATCACGCTGGATCATAATAGACCACTCGCAATTATCCAAGATTAAAACTCTACAAAAACACGCCAATCCTTACTCTTAGAATAAAATATTTCCTTCCTTTTAAACGTCCTTGTGAATCACTATTATCCAGCAACATTCATCTACCGTACCTATATCGTAGCTATCAAAGCATTACTCGACCAAAAGCCTTCTTACATTTCACTATAAAATCGCCTCGTCAGTATTAAATTTAAAGATTTCGAATAAACTACAAATGTCGGCCCGTTTTGCTCATTTTGCACCCGGCTTTCCGCTATTACGATATCGCGTCCCGTAAACAATGTTACATTACTAATATTTTTAGAGTTTCGGTCATAGTAATTTTCCCTTTTATATTTTTTTATTTTAGTGGCTCCATCAAGGATAGATTGATGATTCTGCCAATGTCAAGGTTGAATAAAACACACTGTTATTGATAAAATTTCTAATAGTGATGGCTTTTGTACGGTATTTAGAACATCATACTTTTACTACGACATAACATATATTACAAAGTACTCTGTGACTAAGACTCCGCTGTCTGTCAATCTGTCTATCCGTCCGTATCTCATGAACCGTCATAGTTAGACAGTAAAAATTTTCACAGTGACAGTTAGTATTTCTATTGCCGCTATAACAACAAATACTAAAAAATAGAATAAAAAATTTGAGTGAATCCCACATGATATATACAACAGATATGATTTTGTTTCGTTTTTATAGATAATGGTACGGAACCCTTTGTGTTCGAGTCCGACATAATTTCGTAATGTGTTATTAGCCGAAAAAAAACTTATTAAAAAAAAGAAACCTTTAAAAATCGGACTTCTTGTTTAATCACGAGAAAACCATACAACACGCTTTATTCAATTGGTACTAAAATCATCTAGATTCTAGCCTGCCTCGCCACAAAGAGCGATTTATTAAGAAGGCCTAAATCTGAAAAGTTCTCTGGGGCATCAAGGAGATTCCTATCAGTGTGATAGCGTCTACAATTCGTATCGAGCTCTGCGAAAACTGAAACGTGAAATATTCGTCTGAAGAGAGAAAAGCAATGAAATACGGTTGACAATGCGACAAACGTCGATTTCATTTCCTGCCTATTTGTGCCACCGCAGAATTGAATGTAGACCGTTGGAACTATTGTCCCTTTTCTGTTTACTAATGTATGTAGTTGTAAAAAGGAGGAGGGATCCGGAAAAAACAGTAGCTATATTATTATATGACTATTTAAAATATACAGGGTGATTTTTTAGACGAAGTTTATCTTTGACATATTTTTAGTTGAGCATTCCATAATTCAATAAAAAATATAAATATTTATTTTTGACAAGAAAAATATTAATTCAAACATTGTTTGTTTGTCCCGTTAAGAGTGGTCACACTATAGATAAGCGGTTTAGTAATTCTGCGTTCAGCGAAAAGTTTTAGTGCTCGTCAAAAGGTTATTTTACGTTAGGTATTGAGACGGTAAGGCAGGAATTGTTTAGTGTCCATAATGTTTGAAAAAATTAAAAATAATCTTTGAAAAAAAAATGAGGACACAAGTACGTACCACATTCAGATTTAGAATCAAATTCTGCACATGCTCTGTTAATATGTCCGTCGTCTATAAAATCACCGTGTGTATTATATATTATATTCTCAACAGAAACTGCTATCCGACTTACGAATTTTGTATCAATTTTTATGTAAAATTCGACGTTTCAAAAGAACGGTCAAGCGTCTATTTGAATAAAGATAGTTTATATATATTTTTAACACGCATAAAATGAATATACATTCATTTTCTGTTAAATTACCGTTCATGAGTATCTAGAAACTAATACGTTTCAACGAGGCAGTAAAATCTTTAAAGCGTGAGATTTTTGTAACAAAAGGTTTGTTACATCTGACATTTTTCACGTTTTTCTTCTCAGAGAGTAAACATGTTTCGATTTAACATACCCTTAACTGAACGAGAACAATTTAATTAACCATGTAGTTGTTAATCTTCGCACGCGTTAAATTAACCTCGAAACGTCGACTTAGCTCCCGTTTGAGTCACAAACTTGTTCATACAATACATCGTACTAAGCATGGGTCTCGCAACAAAGCCCGATTTTTAATTAAACAACACTCGGCGACGTGAACCGCTTAATTAAAAGTTTAATTTAGTTGTTTCTGCAAGTTAACTTGCGTTACCTGTTCGCGTTTCGCATGGGGGGCGGTGACCTCTCCCGGTCTATGAACCGGCATGCTTCACGGTTCATATATACATATATGAACCGTGAAGCATACCTAAAGTATTGCGGCTTGTCTAAAGGTAAGCATACCTGAAGTATGCTTCTCGGTAAATAGAGGCATTTTAAGGTTCATTACCACCAACAATTTATTTATTTATTTTTATTTATTTCATCATAACTTACATTGCACCACACAATCTATAAAACATACACAGTTTAACTAGAACTTAATCAAACAGGAAATAACACGATAGGAATTACTACATGTTATGGAACAAATAAAAAAAAGAGAACAACTTCCAGCTTTACTGTTATAGATAAAATTAATTATTATTAATAAAAATGTATATAGGTAGAAATAGCTAGGTAGTTTGATAAATTTAAACATAACTAATTGGCGCTATCCTGGTAAAAATTCTTTACCTTCCGTGCTGGTCAATTGCTGGGAATTAAGAACGTACAAATATAAATAAATGTGGTAGGGCCACGAAATACCATCTGCCGTTGCACGTATGGGCAGGCTCGTCCGGGGAAGTACCGCGGCTTCACAGAATACCGGCGTGAAGTGGAAGTGTTATAATTTCGCGTTTCTGCTGCCGAGTGGGGTAACCGGGGCGCACTTTTTTTAAAGGTTTTGTCAACGCATCTGCAAACGTTCGTGTCTGGTAATGTTCGGGGGGGGGGGGGGGGGGGTAATCACTTAACATCAGGTCCAACTTTTCATATTAAAAAAAATTATGTACAAACACATCGTTATATCTATTATCTATATAGCAGGGCTTAGGGTTCGTTATGTGTAAAAGGAGCCGAGATAGCTCAGTTTCCGGATGCCCACCTTTAATTGAATATACTTGAGCAACCTGAGTTCGATCCCCGGTGCCGGCACCAATGAAGTTTTTAACTTTAAGTGCTGAATTATCACGTGCTCAGCGGTGAAGGAAAACATCGTGAAGAACCCTGCATATTTTGGAAATAATAATACGACATTAGCAGATATGTGAAGTTCGCCAACCCGCAGTGGTTCAGAGCAGGCCTTTAACCAGCAGTGGGACATTTATAAGCTAATACTAAACGATTCACTTTACTTAACTTACATACTTGAGAAAGCGGCTTATCTAATGGTAAGCAATCATTACTTGACTTTCTTTCCTCTTTCCTTCCATTTCTTTCTTCTTTTATACATTTTGTTATGTATGATAAAATTATTTCTTCAGCCACAAAAAAGTTATTTCACCAAAACAGATTCGATGAAATCCACTTTGAAATATATGGGAAACGTCTTTCGCGAATATTATTCGCACAAACATTTTTCTCGTCCAACTTTCCCTTTAGTTCCTCGTTCGTTAGCACACAATAAGAAAGTTTTCAAAGTTTAAGTTCGTTAATATGTCTAAAGCCTTTGAGCGGTTGAGAGATCTTATAATATTTTCATCGTCTATGGGAATTTCATTAATATCATGAGCAGAGTTGCAGTTTTGATCGGCTAAGTAATTTTGTGACGGGTTTGTTATTCAACGTCCAATATAAGAGTCCGTTTGATTTAGGTTCAAAGAAATGTTTATTTTCTCAAAAGAATATTACAATATCCACTTAGCTATGAGAAAATTTTACAAAGCACATGTTAAATACAATTGTAAAAGTGTGGATAATCAGAGAGTTTCCTTGAAACTCTTTAAAGAGGAGCAATTTTTGACATGGGGGGTAACTTATTACATAGCTAAGCTCCTTAAAAATGTATATTTCTTTTTCCGTATATAGTCCTGTCCTATTTTGGGTAGTTTTAAGTTGTTTTTATTTTTTTTTTTATGTGAATAGTTGCCAAACGAACAGACGGTTCACCTGATGTTAAGTGAATACCACCGTCCATGGACATCTGCTACACCCAAGTGTTGGCAACCTTGAAAAATTGGGCTCCGGCCACCTCACTCACCAGACGAAACGCAAAAGTATTAGTAATAACTTCAACTTTACGCCGGTCGTCTGTGAGATCGTGATACTTACTCGGACGAGACTGCCCATTCGTTCAACAGCGGAGGCTGCTGCGCACCCCTACCACCATTTATTAGTTGTTTGCATGGATAATATATGATTGTTCTATATTAAATATTAAGTTTGTTTTAGCATTCCAAATTAACAAACATAAATTTAAAAAAAAAATCTTAAATAAAAGTAGCCTAAGTTACTCCTTATTACATCAGCTATCAGCCAGTGAAAGTCCCGTCTAAATCGGTCCAGCCGTATGAAGGATTAGCCGGAACAAACAGACAGACAGACAGACAAATATTGTAAAAATGTTATTTTGGTATATGTACCGTGTATAAATCCATACGCA